AAAGAAAGAAAGAAAGAAAGAAAGAAAGAAAGAAAGCCCTAAAGAAAGAAAGAAAGAAAGAAAGAAAGAAAGAAAGAAAACATGCTCTTTTAAAACTTTGGTTTATCTTTGTAAAGAGAAAATAATACAAGGCATTTACTATGGTACTCAGAGTCTGTTGTCTCTAAGGATAAGCCAATCTATAATCAACAGTCAGAAAAGCAAATGATATGGCTAGAGGGTTCCCTGAAAGAATGAAAACATATTCGTTAGCAATTCCACTTTTTAAATGAAAAGTCTGTCTTTACTACAACAGGAAGATTTAAATATGAAGGAACAAATCATGAAGTAGCATATCCTGTAATTTTTAAAAGAAAAAACTAATGGCTTAACCTACTTAGGTCCATTTTCAGCCAACAAATACGTATTAAGAAAAGGCTAGTTGCAGAGCATTCTTTCCTATGCAAGAGGTGGATCGGGAGAAAGTAACAACTTAGAGATCGAATCCCTGCTATTCAGACACTTAAAATTTAATTAAGGCTGAAAGAGGTGGTGGGGGGAAGTCACTGCTGGCTAGGGTGCTCAGGAAAGGATTAACACAGGGCTGGGCCTTCTGTGATAAACAGAAAGGATTCTACAGCTCTTAACCTAAATCTGGTTCATTCCTAGTGTACTAAAATAAATTCCAACCAGTTGCCCCTTGATTATTCAGAGTTCTCTCCCCTATCAGACAGTGTAATTTCTTCCTTTAAGGTAATACATTTGTACATACTATAGGTAGATTAAAATTATCTTTTAAAAAAACACATAAAGTTTTATGATCTTGAATGTGAAAATCTAACAAAATATACCTTTTAAAACAACATATAAATGTAAACAATATGTGCCAAGTTATCCATAGAAAGGAGTCATCGTTACTGTTTGGAATGAAACCTAATACAGTTGTAAACAGAGATTAAACGGCTTACCACGGCATTATTCAAATTGCATTCTTTATGTAAGAGGCCTCAAGGCACAATCAATAAGTTAATGATTAAAATACATAAAACTGTAGCAGATAATCATCATCATAAAATTGTGTTAAAATAATGTTTAAGTGTTGATTTGTCAGAAAGGACCTATTAATAATAAAGACAGATTTTTATGGTACTATTCCTAGAAGGCCCATACATGGCATAGGGATGATTTTTGGACATCATCTTGTCTCTAGTTCCTTACAGTTGGAATCTGGAAACTGTGGAAACATACTACCTGAACTCACATGTAGCCAAGGCAAAGATTTGCAAGGAATAGGGAAGCAAAAAAGGAGGACAAAAAGTAGCCTTAAGTGCTATGACACCGTTGAAACTCTGAAGACCACACTACAGTGTTTCTGTAGTTTCAATATCACTAAAGATGAGGATACCAAACCTCAAGTCAAGTAATGGAGCATCGAGGTTTTCACAGTGAGTTAAGCAAGCATATCATAAGGCAAGTAATCAAAGTATATGTAATAATGGCAAAAAAAGAGAAACAAGTTCACCTTTAAAGGCAGAACAAAACAGGAAATTTCCTAGAAATACAAGAAGACTTCATAATGTTTTCTTGAATTACCCTTGAGATCATTCTCACTGGTGAATATTATATTCAAATATACTAATTAATATGACTATGTCCTGGATTCACGTTTTTCTAAATATAGATTTTCAAGGGGCAATTTTAAGTATTTTTAAAACTAATGGTAGAAATAGAAGCATTATTGTGATAAAAAAAAAACTCATATCCAAGAGAATTAATGTATATATGTATAGTTTTCTTTTATTGCTAAAGTGACATCACATTAAAATATAACCTAAAAACATTAACATATAAAGCACACCTTGTCTTCAAATTGGTTTAACAGTATTATTATAACTAAATTACAACGTGACTATATTTAAACAAATAAAATTTCCTTTAATCCATACATTTCCTGTGAAATGTCAAGCTTTTACCATTCTGACTTTATCCTTACATATGGATTTACTAAACAGTATCACTTAACCACTACTTAAGCTAGTGACAGTGATATTGTTCCACATTTACTCGTTCTGGCAAATGTTTTGTTTTCCACTACACTGTCTAAATAAATCTTACAATTTATATACAATTTTTAAAAATTACAATGGAGACAATCTGAGATGAATGTTCGTCACAGTGTTCATTCTGAAAGACTATGGAAAACAAGGGGTTTCTTCATAGAAAAAATGTCTGACTAAAAACTGCTGAAGGAAGGGGCAGAAAAGACACGTGAAGAGAAACTATGTAGAAATACTTGGTTTTTGTAGACTTATATAAAATTCAGAGGGCAAGGATGGCATGCAGGAACAGAACTGAAGAGCTAAGAAAATGCCTCAACCAATGCAAAGGAAAAGGAAACGAGAGGTTGAAATAAAAGGCCTTGCCAGGCATGGTGGCTCACAAGGTCATGAGATCGGGACCATCCTGGTCAACATGGTGAAACCCCATCTCTACTAAAAATACAAAAAATCAGCTGGGCATGGTGGCGCTTGTCTGTAATCCCAGCTACCCAGAAGGCTGAGGCAGAAGAATTGCCTGAACCCAGGAGGTGAAGTTTGCGGTGAGCCGAGATAGCGCCATTGCACTCCAGCCTGGGTAACAAGAGCGAAACTCCATCTCAAAAAAAAAAAATAAATAAAATAAAATAAAAGGCCTTGAGGTCCAAAGATGTGGAGACAAACTAAAGCATATAGTAGGTAAAAAGATTAATTGTGCCCAAAACCCATACCCCTTATTGTAGACATTGTAAGGTTCATTACAGACATCATTCATTTCCCTCTGGATTATCTTTCCAGGCGGGGATTAAAAAAAAATAGGGATTTTGTTGAGATTTAGTAGAAAATCCTTTTCCCTTCTCTAACTTTAAGAACTTGACTAAATCACAGGATCCTTGAGCCTAGGCATGATTAAGACAGTGTTGCTTTACTCAATTCTAGTAAGTAGGATACAGGGATCAAAGACTTGAGAGAAAGAAAATCTGCCATTATCAGTCCTAGAGGTACAGATAAAGTCTGGCACCTCATTTTAAATGACAATTCCCCCAAAATGAAGGGTTTGCTCCACCTTGCTCACTGAGAGCAGAGACACAGTGAGCTTAGTGTAGGCTCCGTGTAAGCCTAGGCCACCAAGCCACGGCTTCTCACCTGACTTGAGCTACATTTGCCCAAGCCTCACCACTGGGAGTTCGCCTCAGCTTGTGCTGGTACTCCACTGCCTCCTGCTGGCCTTCCCTGCACCCATGACTTTTTAGCTAAATCTAGCTGCACTGCAGCTCAAACCTCCACAGACCGAAATCATATCGAAAGGTTCCAAGATCCAGTGTCTGTTCATTCTGAGTACACTTGGGTGGTTCCCTTTGTCTTGACTTTCTTGATTGTAAAATGGGAAACACTCAGACCTGGTATTCATATCCCACTAAGATATGACAACAACAATCACAAGCCTAGAGCTCTTATGTAAAACTCAAGTTGTGGCAAAACATCATGTTTTTGTTTAAGCCTTTCATGACCACCCTATTTAAAACCACACCCAGGTACTAAACAGCATTCCCTAACTTCTCCATAAAAAAAAGTTTCTTCATAGCAGTAATCACCAACTAATGTATCAATAATTCACTTACCTTTTTACTGTCCCTCCTCAACCAGAATGTAAGCTCCAGAGTTTTGATAGTTTTTTCTGTATTGTTTACTGCTGCTATACCTCTAGTAGCCAGAATACTGGCTGGGACAGAGTAGATACTCAATATGTGTTGAATGGATGAACAACATACACTCTTTAAACAGTCCCCTAGGAAAAGGCAGGTTATGTTTGAGATAGTACAAAAGAAAATGGCAAGCTTATTTGGGATCAAAGTCGAAAAGCAATCTGCTTCTTAGGGTGCCTAATCAGTATCATCCTTACCACTGAAATCTTTCAAATCTGAGTTTTTGTGTCTCCTTCTCTGAACTTATTCTCAATTAAAAGGCTGGCTTCACTAAGCAGATGACATTCTTACTAATTCAAAACAGTAACCCTCTGGATTTCCCCTTGAGTAAACATCCCTCTAGCCCTTTCCTGATTAGATTCCTGCTTTTGTGACTGAGCTGCATACAACAACATTCGCACTATTAAAGCACAACCATTCTCTGGGTCCCCACAACGATGAAAATTTATATATTCTCTTATTATAAAGAGCAGTGCATACAGGCAGGTACAAAATAACTGTTTGGTTATTTTTAAATAAAATAAAATCCTACAGAAGTAAACAAACTAGAAATATGGTTCAAAGTAATTTTTTAAGTAAAAACAAAATAAATTCAGCAAAGATTTAGAGTCGAACAATAGGCGACAAACACACAATGGGTTGTTAAAGAAAACCAAGAATATACTTTGCCCACACTTCAAGTCCCTGAGATTCCTAACATTAATAAATCTTCCAAAGAAAAATCCTTTAGTATCAGAAGTCTGACCCATTTTGGAACCTACACATATCCAATTTGTCCAGAGACATGGCCAATTAAAACACGCTCTTGGTACTTTAAACTGGCATCTTCTTAAGAAAATACATATTCTATTGTCATTTCCCCCTAAGAGTACCACATATATTAGCAACAAAAATTTGATCCACCTTTTAAAATGTTGAAAAAAAGTCATTTGATTTTTAAATGTCATTTTAATATATTAGCATAATCCATAAGGTATCACTGGCAAAATGACATTTATAAATGAATGACAGACTTGAAGTCTTCTTTTTATCTTATTTCCATAATTTAAGAATTTAAATGTATTTGGAATACAACATCAAGAGCAATGAAATTTACTAAAGCTAATTTTTGCCAGAATACTGTTAGGAGAGGGAAATAACACCTGTTTTATTCTAATAATAGACTTAATCCAATACATAATTTAATCAAAAATCTGACTAGCTAGCCTCCTGACAATTCATGAAAGCAAGTCCAACCTGTTCAAGTCAATGTTTAAATATTAATTCTTATACTGTAAATTCTAGAATTAGTATTCCACATGCTATGGAAAGCATCAAGAAAAGAAATAAACCCTTAATGTACACATATCTTTATTATACACCAAAATATTTAGAAGAGAGAATATAACACATTTCACTGCAATAAAGCTCTAAAAATACATTATAGATGACTTGGTAGCTGTTAAAGGTACCTTTAAACTTGCTGCCCAAAAATAATGACAAAGATTAGACTCTTTTTGCAAGAAGCTTTTTTTTTAAAAAAAAGATGGGGTTTCACTCTTGTTGCCCAGGCGGGAGTACAATGGCACCATCTCAGTTCACCACAACCTCCGCCTCCTATGTTTAAGCGATTCTCCTACCTCAGCCTCCCAAGTAGCTGGGATTATAGGCATGCACCACCACATCTGGCTAATTTTGTATTTTTAGTAGAGACAGTTTCTTCATGTTGGTCAGGCTAGTCTGGAACTCCCAACCTCAGGTGATCCACCCGCCTTGGCCTCGCAAAGTGCTGGGATTACAGGTGTGAGCCACCACGCCTAAGACAAGAAACTATTTTTTTATTAAATTCAAATTACTTTCCTAGGATATCACCAACATGAACATTCAAAACAAAACAAACTTTTCTTTGAAAGAAAAACCAAAACATAGATAATTAGAAAACAAATATTTGTGTCTAGAAGTTAATAGGTTTACAAATATACTGAAAAAACATGTGAATTACATAGAATAACCCCTTTATCAGTGTGTAGAAGTTAACAGGTTTACAAATATACTGAAAAAAATGTGAATTATATAGAATAACCCCTTTATCAAATTTTTAAATTATTAAATATATGTCTAGTACATTATAGATTACATAGTATTTCACTTATATACTTTATTCTTTGCAACATTTTAGCAGACATTACTACTGTCCTCAAGAACTGAAAAATCTCTATTGTTAATTGTGTTCTCTTAAGTGTACATAGTTGTCATATCAGTGCCAACCTATACACTAAGTCCAGTCTCACTTCTGAGAGTACTGGGGGAAGTTCAGGGTTTGGAATAAAATAGACCTGGGTCTCACCCAGGTTTGCTCATGTACCACCTTTGCTGCCTGGAGAAAATGCACTAAATTCCCAATCGAAGGAAGGTAATATTTACTTCACGGTAGTGTTGTGAGATTAAATTAAATAAAAAACATAGGAAGAATTTAGCAGCATGGCTGCCTTGCTAACTCCTAAACCTAAATAAACTTTACCTTATGCCCTCTCTGCTTTTGCTCTAAGGCCGTAAGACAATGCAACATAATAGTGCTAACTTTACCGATCAGGAATTCATGGCCTAGTACTGTTTTCTCATTAGTAAACTAGACATAAGTAATATTTATCTCCTAAGATTGTTTTAAGGATTCCATAAAATTCTGTATGTAGAATATTAATTATAGTGCCTAGCATATGCTAGGAACTCAAACTATAACCATTCTGTAGCTTAGCAATTTTTTTATTATTAAATGCCTTAGCACACTTCTGGAAGGTGCTATTCTTACTCTTCAACTTTCTTTAAGCCCTAAATATACAAAATCATTCTGGTAAGTGATTCCCATGCCTACTTTACTGGAAAGATGAGCAGTGAGTGTAAGCATCTACAGCTCTTCTTTCTACTTTTAAACACTCCTTTACCAATTTATAATTTTTCATATACCCATCAGGTGTGAGACAAACAGCAACGCTCACTAAACTCCTAATACAATTCTTTCAGTCATGCAACAAATTTTTTATAGGAATATATCTTTATTTATTCTTTTATTGCATTTTAGGTTTTGGGGTACATGTGAAGAACATGTAAGATTGTTGCATAGGTACACACATGGCAGTGTGATCTACTGCTTTCCTCCCCATCATCTATATCCGGCATTTTTCCCCATGCTATCTCTCCCCAACTCCCCACCTGCCACTGTCCCTCTCCATTTCCACCCCACCCCCGACAGACAGTATGTGATGCTCCCCTCCCTGTGTCCATGTGTTCTCATTGTTCAACACCTGCCTATGAGTGAGAACATGCGGTATTTGATTTTCTGTTCTTGTGTCAGTTTGCTGAGAATGATGGTTTCCAGGTTCATCCATGTCCCTCCAAAGGACATGAACTCATCGTTTTTGATGGCTGCATAGTATTCCATGGTGTATATATGCCACGTTTTCCCTGTCCAGTCTATCATCGATGGGCATCTGGGTTGGTTCCAGGTCTTTGCTATTGTAAACAGTGCTGCAATGAACATTCATGTGCATGTGTCCTTACAGTAGAACGATTTTGAGCATACATAATCTGCCAGTACCATCTCAAGTGCTGGGTATATGAAGGTAAGAAAGAAACAAATTCTACTCTCAGGGAGCACCATATAGGAAAGGAGATTGACATTATAATAATCACATTATAAATAAATGTTTTAAATTCTCTTTCCATCTCCTCAGGCCTTGTTTCTTCAACTATTCTAGCAC